TAACTCAGGGAATCCTTGGGGTGGGATGAAGCTGCGTGTCATTCTATCTCACTTACTGCTCACAACTCTTGAGGCATGTGTGTGTGTATTATTATCCCCATTTTAGAGATAAGGAAATTGAGGCTCAGAGAAGTTAAGTAACTTTTCCACAGTAACACAGAAGGTAGTGCCACTGGGATTTGCACCCCAGCCTGACGTCAAGGCCCCTACCTTTCTCACTCTGATGCTCTAGGCTCCACCCTCCTCCTGGTCTGGGCAAATTCTGGTTAGACCTTCACAAAGGTGCAAGGGGGTGGGGATGCTCAAGAGATGAGGAGTTAGGCTAGCATGAGGGAAGTGAAGTTGGGGTGACAAGGAGGGGTCTGGGGTGCTGGTGCTGGCTATCCAGCCTTTCACACCCCTTACTAGCCAGGCCTTGGGACATCTGGGGGTGTTGAAGACCAGAGACTGATGTGGGGGTGGAGGGCAGGTAACCAGAGGGAGGACAGCTCAGAGATGAGGGGCAGTAGAGATAGGAAGGTGTGTACCCATCCCGAGTGTGCCTTATTACTTAACAAGCATTTCCGGAAGACCCGCCTCTTTGGAAGGTGCCTTCCGTTGTCTGCAGTTTGTTTTCCTTCCTTCCTTCACCTGTTCAGGCAGGCAGTGGCCAAGGATCTGACCGCCAGGGGGACGGCCTACCGAAGGTGGGCATCGGTGGTAGCTAAGAATGTCATTCGGGGCAGATTCCATTTTAAGAGAGAGACAAATGGCATTCACCTTGGGGGAGCGGGGCCCCTGAGCCCACTGCCCGAGGTCCCTTCCCCACCTGACCCCGGTGGAGAATGTTCATTTGGGTTCAACCTGGGTGTAATCCCCACACTGGCCCTGTAGACCCCATGCCAGGAGGAGCTGCCGATTTGCCCCCAAGGACGTGGGGTCACTCTTGTGGGGGGGGAAGCAAGCCCTGGGGCACATGTCTCTCTCTGCTGTTTTGCGTGCAGGTGTACGTGACATCCAGGAGAGGAAAAAGGTCAGATTGTTAGAAAAACCCAGAAGGAGATGGGAGCTGTTAACTGAAAGCTCTCAGTCAACAGATTCTCTTCAGGTGAGCATCACACAGAAAGGAGAGGAGAGGGGAGAGAAGAGAAATGTGAGCGAGAAGATAAAAGAGTACAAAGCAGGTAGATGAAAAGCAGAAGGGCCTTTGAAAGTGCCACCTGAAGCCAGGCTGGAGGGAGGCCCGGGGCTGGCCCCAGGAACCAGGGCCCACCCTTGGATGAGGCTGGAAGAGGTCACAGTTCCCCCCACACTGCTTCAGCGGGGGTACAGCTACCCAACGCTGGAGCCAGCCCTCAGACATCAATGCAGCCATGACAACAAGAGGGGAAACTGAAGTATCTGCCCATGGAATGACCTGATCACCGGGATTTGCTTCAAAAGAGCTCATGAGTAGGTGGTGGCTACATGGGAGTTCTTTATGCAAGTATCTACTTTTCATTAAGTTTGGAAAAAGCATTAGAATAATAACAGAGGAATGTGAGCCACAGAACATAAGCAGAAATTAATCAGAACTGTGTCCCGGGTTTTCTTAACACTGCAAACCAGGAGTCCTTGACCAGGGTGATGATGGATGAGCTGCAGGGTCCCCGGCCTGCCTGTATCGTGTGCAAACTGACCTGGGCATTTTCAGCAAGTTTGCAAAGAATCTGTGACTCTCCCCCAGAGGTTAGTAAATTGTATTCTCTCTAAAATGTGCCGTGCATATATTAGTTACTTGGTGTGTGGTGTTTAGATAGAGGGGTTCTTTTCTAGAACTGACAGTCACATCTAGGCCCTGGGTTTTCATCCCTCCTCTCGGTCAACCGTGCCTGGAACAGAGCAGGACTTAGCTGACTTGCTTCACAGCCCAGGTCCCTGGGGACAGCTCCAGGGCCCCCACTGCCCCGAGCCGCTGACAGAGGAGTGGGGAGGGCTGGGCCAGAGAGCGGGGTGCACAGTGGGGAGGTGGAGACAAAGGAACAGGAGCTGTCTGGGGAGGCTCCCTGGGGTCTGAGAGAGTGACAGGAGGAAGAGCTGTTGAGGTTTGTCATCCTCTGGCAGACTCATTGCCTTTCGGCTGCAAATATCCACAGAACCTCCGTTTTGAAAGTCTGAGGTTTAACACTCAAAGATTTCCTTAGAAAACACCTTTCCGTTGCTCACGCAGTAGCATAACACCCAGTCTGACTTCCAGCCCTTCACAGTGAGTTCCTCCAAGAAGTCCAGAGCCCCACAGGCTCCCTAGACCGGGCGGAGCAGGCTGTCACCTGGGCTCACAGTCTGGTGGGCAGGGAGGTGTGGGTTAGTCTGGGGGACAGCGAGGCTGTCATCTGGGAACACCTCCACATTCAAGTCGAGGCTTGAAGGCCCTTTCTCCTTAGGCTAACAGCTCACGGGCTAGTAGGAGAAGCGTGGCCCTGGGACGAGAGAGGAGAAGAAACCAGGGTCCAGGTATTGGCCTGTAGCTGGGGCTCAGAGCTCTGCTCTCCATCACTCTCCTTCAGAGAAGACAGGTGAGGGCTGAAGCCATTCCCCAGTCTCCCCAGAACAGGAATATGGACAGACAGATGAAGACCTCAGTCTCCCCACCCAGGCATCTGGAACCACATAGCTTCCCCCCCTTACACAGAAGGAAATGGAGACCTCGGTGGGAGTCTGTCCATTCCTAGACCAGGCTGCTGGGCTGCAGGGCTGCAGGCGGGGGGGGGGGGGGGGGGGGGGGTGAGATAGGCCAGGGCGGGCCTGATGCCGGCTTGTGGCTGTTGAGCATCACTTCAGAAGCTGCCCCCTCTCCACCTCCCCTACCCAAGTCCTGGTTCTTGTCCTTCCCCAACCACAGCCCTCACCCTGGAGTACCTTCCTTCTCAAACCTCCCCTGGCATTCAGGGCTTGGACATCTCTCTGTGTGTCATCAGAGATGGGTAGCACCCTCTGCCTCTCCCCCACCAGAATCCTGACTCTGAGGGCACCGTCCAGAATCCCCAGCTTCCTCCATCCATGCCAACTGTCAACACAGTGGAAGGTGCAGGACCAAAAGCGAAATGCTCAGGGGCAAGTTTTGGGTTGTCCCCATCCTTCCTTAGTGGTAGTCCCTGCTTCCACTGCCTCCCTCCCCAATGCCACACAGCACGTTGCCCCCACCCCAACTCAGGGGCCTGGGTGTCCTCCCGCCGGGGAGGGAAGGGGGACTTTCTGTGATGTTTGGGCACTATGGCCATTCCTGCCCGGGAACCCAAAGAGTAGGTTTGTGATGGTGACTTTCAGAGATACACAGAGTGGAGGGAAATGTGTCTCCGTGTGGAACAGGGCCCCAGAAAAGCCCTACGCTGCTCAGGCTGTGAACGACGGCCACAGGCAGGTGCCGGGAGGGAGGGACCTCGGTACTTCCATGGCCCTCCTGGGGCCGCGAGGCGCCGCTGGCCAGGCTCCCAGAAGCACAGGCCACTGAAAGAGTCTTTTTTTTTTTTTAAACTGTGCTTTATTTAGGGCTAAGCTGGAGAAAGCGTCATCCAATAGTTACAGAAGGTTACAAGGAGTTTTAGGGAGTTGAGTGTGAAAAGAGCAGTTGTACTGAACTGCAGCTGTTTGTTTTTACAACATCTGGACATCCTAAAAGGAGGAGCCAAGAGAAAGGAAAAGGAAAATTCAAAAAGAACAATAAACCAACAAAACAGAAAGAAAGGAAAGGCAGGAGGCCTGAGAGGAACCAGATCATTGTTCTTCTAAAACAAAAAAAGGGAAAAAATGGTAGGCCCACGAGCCCCCGGCCTCCAGACACACTGGGCGTCAACCAGAGGAGGGGATCGAGGCAGAATGCAAAGCAAGGCTTCCCAACGGTGCAAATAAATTATAATAAATATGTTATACTTTAAAATAGATGGGTTCTTAAATAAATCAGTGTTTTTTCTGATTCTGAGTTTTTTTTTTAAGCAATGTCTTTTTTAACTGCTCTAAAGTCATTTACCAAAGATAAATATCGTGCTTTCATTAAATAGTTTTCCTTGTTTTTTTTTTCTCTATCATTACAATTAAAAGTCCTACAAAATATGCAAATTTATTTACAGAAAAACAGAGCCAGCATCATTTAAACATCCCTGTTTTTCAAAATTCCTTGTAAACAGTTTCAGAAATTCTTCAAAGATTGTTATTTTTCTCTCTCTTGTTTAAGGTTTTTGTGTGTGTGTGTGTTGTTTCGTTGTTTTAAGATGAAAGTTCCCAGGTCTCCCTTGCCCGGAAAGTCTCTGGAGCAAGCATGGAAGGCGAGTGAAGCGGAAGGTGTCCAGGGCTTGCGGAGAGCGGGCGAGCGCGCAGCTCCGGGGCGAAGCGAGGCGAGGGCGCTGGGCGGGCTTCCTGCCCCGGCGTGGCCTCCACCGGCGGCGGGCGGCCAGGAGCCCGCGGGTCGGGGCCCTCCGGCCTGGCCCTCCGGTCAACGGCGTCGTCATCCGACCGCACTCGCGGGGAGGAGGGAGTGATGCTCAGTCTAAACTCTACAAAAGTACAGTCCTACAACATCTGGGATTTTAGCAGTAATGCTAACTTCTATAAGTTTTTTTTTTTTTCCTTTTTTATTTTTTTTATTTTTTGCTTTCCTCTAATTTTTCTTCTATTATATAGGTATTTTAAACTTCTCCTTTTTAAAATTCTGTACAACTATTATGTTTTTAAGAGGGGGAAGAGTTAGAAGCATTTACAGACTTTTCACAATTCTCTTGCCTTGTGAGTCCCCTTTTTCCCTCCCTGTTTTCTCACACTTCACGGTTAATGAGTTTTAACATTGTTTTGTTGCTTTCCCCAAATATCCACCAATTTGTTCATCTTAACAGCTCCATCCAGACATATAATACAGAAAACCATAGGAAAGTGTCTTAGACTTGAATGAGGGTAATCAAAGCGCCTCTCAAAGTATCAAAGAACTATTATCTTGCTGTTTTAAAAGCATTTAAGCATTATTTTTCCTTTTTTTGTGTTTTTGTGTTTTTTGTTTTTTTTTAAATTTTTTTTTTTATTACATTTTTCATAGAATCGCTCTAAGCTGTTTCAAGAACAGCCAGGAGGCAGGAAGGAGGTTCTCCTCCGTTCCCCCTCAATTTGACATAGAGCTACACATCTGCAATAAAAAGTTTGGTCCTTTGGTCCCTAAATAGCTAAAGGAATGACAGATAGAGATGCTCAGTGGCGACCTCCCAGCCGCCCTCTGGGGACCAGGTCCCGCAACACCGCTTGCCCCTGCCTGCCTCAGGCGCCCACGGGCTGGAAACGCCCCGGGGATCGGTAAGCAGCGTCTCTTTTCAGTCCCAGCCCTTCAGCCTCCCCATCTGGTCTCAAGTTATTTTGTTTTAAAAGTTGCCTTTTTTTGTGTGTGTGTGTGTGTTTTTTCTCATTTTTCTTCATCTTCTTCTTCTTTATGTCACATGTATTTTCCCCCAAACACGCGCCCTCTGAACTCCATAGACGCTATACTTTCCTCGAAGAAATGTTATAGTCACAGAGTGTCTGGAGTCCTCAGCTTGATTGATATTGGCTGATATGTCAAAGGTGTCATCCAACAGTTCTCATTTATAAATAGAGAGAGAGAGAGGTTTGATTTTTAATGTAGCCCGTTCAGCATCCTGCCCTAAAATGAAGAAAATCAGGGCTGATTAAGCCAAGAGAGGAAACACAAAATGCATCCAAACACCAAAAGGAACCTGCCTGGGGGTTAGGGAGGGGCTCTGGGGGATGGTGGGAGGGAGGGGAGAGACCAGTATGAGAATTAGTCATGATCATGATACATAAAGAAGAAATTGACTCTTCTATTCCAAGAAACCACTGGGAGGTCTAGTGGCGATGGTTGTGGCTGAGGTTTAGTTGTTGGGAGCGGGGTCTCGATTTGGGTTCCTTTAGAGTTCTGGATTGGGGGATGGCTCAATCTAAGGGATGAATTTGGGACTCTGGGGTATGAATTCATAATTAAACTGATCTCTGAGGGATCTATCCCAGATACAATATGTATACAGAAGCCTAGCAAACAAGACAGCAAAAATCTAGCAGCCCTGCCCACTCCTCCCCGACTTGAGGAAAAGAAAGAAAAGATCCATGACATGAATTTTGCTGAATCCGTGCCCAGTTTCCAGCCAACCACTTCTTTCCCCAGGTCAGTAACTATTTGCGAGGCTATGTATATATATGTATATCTGGATATATGTGTAGAATATATTCACCTGCACATATGTGGATATACATGGATATGTGTGTATGTATATGCATAGATACACACATACACACACACACACACATAATATTTTTCTCATACATGCCAGGGAATTTAGAGGAAATTCAGAACTTCGAGGGGTGGACGGGAGAACCTAAAAGAAGTTAGAACGGATTTCATCGTCAAACTTAACTCAGACAGTTCTTGATTTTGTTTTGAAATGGTGGCTTTTTGGTGTTTTGTTTTGCTTTTAAGAAAAAAATCATGATCTGACTAGAATCAGAAGGAGAATGCTTAATCATTGTGAATTAACAAATGAGACTCATCTCCATTCTAGCAAGCAGCTTCCACTTATACATGGGGGTGACTGGTTACATCAAGAAAGTTAGAACTGCCAAGCCCCCAGTTGAGGGGACAACGTCATGCGTATATCAATCCATGCTGGCAGGTTTTTCACACTGTTGATTCAACAAACAGCAAACCGTACACAGCAGTCTAAACAATTACAACACCAAATAAAATAATAATAAAATTAAAAAACACTTGTCAAGGACCCTTTTTCAGTTGTAAATGAAAAGGTGCATTTTGCTTTTGTCAGTACTGCTTTTTCCAAACCAACCAAAAAACCCTCCCGAAACCCCAGGTCCCCACCTCCCGTCCCCACATCTAATTTAGCAGAAGTGGTTATAATACAAACCTCACAATTGTTACCAGGCTCTCTCAGAGGCCTCTGGCTTTGTACTCTAGTTTTTTGGTTTAGAATTTTTTTTTTTTTTTATCATTCTGTTACTGTAGAGATTTCATTTTTGGTTTTGTTTTTTTCCTTTTGAAGTGAGATTTAAAATGGCCTAACTGGAAAAAGACCAGACCCAGGAAAGTGTCAATTGAAAAAGGCCCCCAAATTTCTAGAAAAAAATAAAATCACAATATTTTCAAGTGCAAGTAAATCAACCACGCATATTTTTAAGATGTTTTCCTTATTTTTAAGAAAAAAAATAATGGTTTGCACAGTTAAATGATCCCATGTTCGATAATTTAGGAATTCATCTTTACTTTTACTATTTTTTTTTTTGTGCTTTAGTTTTTTTTTTTTTTTCTCGTTGTGACATCTAGAGAAGCATAAAAAAACGCTGAACAAGAAAAACCAAACAACAGAAAGTAAAACCACTGCAAGCACCAAGAACGAAACGAAAATGAGCACAGCAAAAAAGATCGTGGCAGCACAAAAGTCAAGAGAATGCACGTGTGATCATGACTGGCCAATCATCGACTGATACAACATCCAAGAAAAACGCTCCAATCACAGCACCTCCACGAAACTTGACGGCAATTGTCATGCAACCGATTCTTAGCCTTGTTACATGACGCCATCATGTCACACTGTGAACTTTGAGTTGATTTGAACTTACGGATGGGGGACTGTTTTCTCCACTCTCACGTGATTACGTGAACTTTATTCCTAGCTCAGCGCGAGACTGTGGTGGATTTGACTGGCCCTGGTTGGGTTGTTGGAATTTGATTGAATGACAAAAGAAGAAAAGATTTATATATATATATTTATATATGTAGAGAGAGAGAAAGAGAGAGAGGACAAGAGTGTGGGCAAGGGGGGAGGAAGAGGCAGGGAGGAGGGGTGGGGTAGGGGGACGTGGGAGGGCAGGGAGAATCGGGTGGAGGGTGAAGAAGGGCAAGGAAGAAGTTAAAACAAAATTAAAAGGAAAAATACTTATACAGCACCAGACCACAGCATCAATCTAAAAGCTCTGATGGGAGAACAGCAGTCAAATCATAAGAGAACTGAAAAGAACTCGAAGGATGGAGGAAGCGGCAGACAGACGACGTGGGCACATCAACACACACATACACGCACGGTTGTTTATGCAGACACATGATACATTGTGAACAGTAGCAGAACCTCACACAGGGCCACTGAGGGCATCCATCATGCGTTGGGAAGGGGGGCGTGTGGGCAGTTTGGTGAGCGGGCCAGAAAAAACAAAACAGCCCCTCAAACCACCTTGGCCCGCAAGCAGATCAGGAAGCACGGCTCTGCTTTTCATCACCCTTGATTCTTCCTCTCTCCCCCAGGTGCCCAGCTCTCCTCACCTCCCCAGCCTTCTGTGGCCTCAGCCTGTGGACCAGCAGGGGGAGCCTGACGGGGTGACCTGACTGGCCAGGTAGGTCTGAGGCTGGCTAAGGTGGCTGTTGTATCCATGAGGTCCATCCATGAGACACTGCTGCCCCAGCCCAGTCCACACTGGCAGCTCTCCCCCCCTTGGGGTCCCCCCTCAGCCACGGTCCCCAGAGAAGGGTGTCTCCCCTACAAGCGAACCCACTGTATGATGTTAGGATCCTCTCCCCTTCTGCGCTCCGCCTCAACCCTCTTTCCTCAGAACCTTCAGAAAATGAACATGTTTAGTTTTCAGATTTAGAGGGAATCCATCGACATTCCTGGAAACCTATAACCATGCCCTGGCACTGCTGATTTCGTTTCACAGTGACCTCGTGCCCTTTGCTTTGCTCCCAAGGTGGCCCATGTGGCCGAAGTGCGGCTGCTCTGGGCACGTGGAGCCTTCAGAAGGCTCTGCAGCTGCACCCGTCAGGCCCTGTGGAAGACGGCAGGCGCCCTGCAGGCGGGTAATACAAGCAAGGGCAGGCCACCAGAGAAGGGGGTGCTGTGGCCCTGGAGCTCCAGTCTCCACTGGGTCACTTTTGCTCTGCTGACCTCCCCTGCTCCAGCTCCTCCTTCTCCAGCCCTTATGCCCCACAGCCCTCCCTGTGCAGCGTTCTTGGCTGGTCCCTCTCACGGCCCTGGCCTGCCTCCTTGACTGGTAGAGCCCAAGGTGGCTGGGGCTGGATTCCCTTCTCTGTCAAGCATCGTCAAATAATTGCACTTCGAGTTGTCTTCTGCACTCCTCACCCTTTCACGGTCCTTTGTCCCAGCCAGGGATCTGCAGGGGGGCTCCCCAGTTCTATCCCCTTGTTGTGGTTACCCTTGACTTTGCTCCCATCAGCACTCGGGCAACAGGTTTATCTGCAGAGTTTCCAATCCATCCGGTTTCTACATGCAGCCGACTTCCACTTTCAGCTTTGTTGTCCTTCGAGGGAAGGTGGAAGGGAAGCCTGGGACCGTGGGGTGTCAGTGTGATGAGCTGAGAAGTGGCTGAGAGGTGACTACTTTAAGCCCAAGCCCAGCCTTCACAGAAGAGCTCCCAGCCTCTCTTCCCTCCCAGGCCCCTGCCTGGCCAAGCTGGGGTCTTGCTCTTCCAACAGCAGATCTTCCTCGCACAGAGCAGGGCCCACTGCATGCCACCACGTCCTGACATGCCACCCTTCCCTGCGTTACCAACCCCTCCCAGAAGACAGCCCTTAGACCCACGCAGGATATCCAGTTGGCATGTCCCTCTGGATGGGAGAAGAGGCCAAAGAACGGAGGAGGGCAGTGCCATCCGGTGTCAGCTATGGCAAGTATAACTAAGGGGCCCCCTGGAAACCTCTCCTTCCCCCTTCCTCCCACTCCTGACCACTTACAAGTCGCCTCTCCTCCCCACTCTGCTGTGCTCCTCCGCTTCCCCATCTGTCCTGGGCACTGGGGATTCAAGCCTGCATATCACACAGTCCCTCCTTAGAGCCCATTCCAGGGAACTTTCTCATATACTCCTCTCTCGCATGCGCTTGGCCCCAGCACACAAACACATTCTCACGCTCATCCAACCCATAAGGAGCCTCCCCAGGGTTCTTCCTATAAACAGCTGACTACTCTCTTCATTAGGGAACAGCTGTGCCTCTGCCTGCTGGGGGACCCCTTCCTGGGCACCCTCCTGGAGAGCCTCACAGAGCACAGCCCAGTGGTGGCAGCATGGGGGGGGGGCTTAAATCAGGCCTGGGGCTCCACCTCATGACCTGGGCAAGGAAATGATGACCAGGCTGAACCAATTCAGATGCCAGTCCTAAGCATAGCTGGGCTCTACCCAGGGAAGGCCCAGGCCCAAAGCCATAGCCCAGCCCCATGCAGGTCAGACCTAAAGCACCCGTGTCCACAAAGCTCAGAGTAGACACTGCAGAAGCCCAGGGCCCAGAAGGGACAGGAGTCCCACGGGAGTCAGACATGATGCTCAGTGTCCTCTAACCCAGAACCACCCTCGGCTCAGGGCCCAGCGCCTGCTAGCGAGCTTGGGGAGAGACAAGTGACTTGAGGTTCTGGCTGATGGCTGTAGACCTGGGCATGTCCACAGTGGTGCCCGTTCTTCCTATCCCTGTTTTCTTCCTCTTAGGTTCCTGGTAAAGAATTTTTGGAGAAACTCCCATCTTAGCACAAGATAGTGAGTCCAAGCAGCCAGAGAGGCAGGGGCAGCAGGAAGACCAGGAACCCAGAGAGGAAGAGAGCTACACTCAGGAGACCCAACCCCAATTCTACCCACTGAAACTTCACTTTATGAAACCAAAGCCTGACCTGCTGGGTCCTTCTCTTTCCCCAGACCTGTCACATTCTCAGTCTGACTTGGCCTTGACCACCAGGCCTGCTGCACCTTCTGCCTTCTCCAGTGCGGTGGCCAACCCTGGCCCTGAGATCCCTGTCCCTGTCACATCTCTGCTCCTAGTGATGGCTTGTCCCTCAGTCCCTGTTCAGGCTAGCCCTGCCCTTCTGAGCACCTAGGACTTATTATTTGTAAATACCCTTTTTTAGCCTGTAACTTGTGCAGGGTTTTAGCTGTTCTTGCATGCCATTTCCTCCTTTGTGGGCAACTTGACGGCAGCCACTTCCTACTGCAATCCCCTTATCTTAGCACCCTCCTTCCGCTGCAGTCTCTGATTGTCTTGGGGTGGGAAGCCTGCAAGCACCATGTTAAATGCCATCTACATGGAGATTCAAGGTCAACCTTATTATAGGGTTAAAAGGGAGCAGGGAGTCAGATGGCTGACCCCTGAGAAGTAGGATGACTTGGCATGTCCCCTCTGATATTCAGGACACTGTGCTGGGAGGGTCGGGGTGATGACAGCAGTTGGGGGGTTATCATTCTCCTTACTTGAAGGGGTTAAGAGCACAGCCTCTCGAACTAGGCGTCCAGCTTCAAATCACAGCTCTATCATCCAATAGCTGATGGGAAAGTGACTTGACCTCTCTGTAAAATGGAACTAATAACACTACATACTGTATAGGCAGTTACAGCTATGTACTTATATCTTACAGTTATCACCCCGTGCATGCTAAGAACGGTGGGAAAGTCTGTGGGTCTGATTTTCTGGCCTTTGTATTATCTGGTGGAAGAACCCACTCTGCTGTTTAAACTACTCCTCTCAAGCCCCCAACCCAAGTATGACTGTCAGCTGGTACTTCAGTTGCAGTTCATCCACGGCCCTGGTTGGGCCATGCAGGAGGCAACCAGTCAATGTGGCTCTATCATATCGATGTTTCTCTCTGTCTGTCTCTCTCCCTCCCTTCCTCCCACTCTGTCTGATAATATGTAGAAAAATATCCTCGGATGAGGAATAAAAATAAAAATAAAAAAAAATAAAAATCCTCCGATGACTCCAATACCTTGCATTCATTGGTGGAAAAATGGAAGCCCAAGAGGGGTCGCACCCCGACCTGGGTCATGCCTTAATGGCAGAGCTAAGGTTATTTGAAAGAAATAAGTCTATATCAAGGAAAGGCTGCTTTTACTAAGCTTTCCCTCCCCTCCTATGGAAATGCACCCATCTGCTGGCGGCCTCCTGATGTCTGTGTGCGCTCAGAGCTAGAAGCTCCTTGTGGACAGGATGGTGACCCATCCACCTCTGTGTCCGCAGCACTGAGCCCAGTGCCTGGCACAGGAAGGTGCCCAAAGTCTGAATGAACATGAGTATCTGTGTCTTCACACAAGACAGAGATGGGCAGGGGTGGGGACTCAGGAGGCAAGAGAGGCAGGTTTGGTTTTCCAGACTGCAGAGGGTAGAGGCTCAGCCACGCTCTGCACCAGCAGGCGGGTGCTGGCTGCTGCCCCCAGCTGGAAGAACAGTGTGCTGCTGGAGTGGTGAGATACGAGAGGAGACTGGGAAACGGCAGACCTCCTTCCCAGACTCCAGACTCTGAACCTCAACTCGAATGTTCAACTCTCACATGCCTGGCCTGTCTCCCAACCCTTCTGCATTTCCAGTCACTTGGGCCAAAGCCTGGTGTCATCCTTGACTCTCCTTTCTCTCACACCATCTCTAAATCATTACAAACAGCATCCTTGGCTCTGCCTTCCAGATACATCTAGAACTCAACTCCCTCGTACCACATCAGCTGCTGTCACCTGGATTGAGTGGCCCATGCACTAGGCCTCTGCTTTGGGCCTGCAATGTGTTATCACAGCAGCCAGCGATCCTGCTGAAATGCAGGTTAATCACACCGCTCTCTACTCAAAGCTCTCCAGTGGCCCCCACCCCAGGCCCCCATTTCAGAAAACAGGCCAAAGTCCATACAATCACTGCCTCCATGAGGTGGCCCCCTCTCTCACCATGCCCCCTGAATTACTCCCCTCCAGCCACCTTGACCTCCAGCTGCTCCTCAAACACGCCACCCTGCCCTCACCTGGGAGCCTGTACGCTGGCTGTCCTCGCAAAGGGAGGACATACTCCTCCAGACACTGACACGGCTCCCTGCCTCCCTTCTTGAAGTCTTTGCTTGAATGTCTCTTTCTCAACAAGGCCTGCCCTGGCTACCGGATTTAACTGTGACCAACAATTCTGACATACTATATAATTTACTCTTGGATTATATGTCATTGTTGAGTGTCTCTCTCCCTTGCTTAGGACCAGGGTTCTTAGCAGTCTTACTCAGGGCTGGGTCCCGAGTACCTGACTGTACCTGGTGCCCAGCACTGCCAAAGGAATGGAGGGACAGAGGGCTGGGCAGCCCGGCTCTGGCCTGAGAATGAGCTGACCCTGCAGAAGCTCACAGCAATGGGAAACCAGGCTGAAGGTGGACTTTGGTCCTGGCACAGCTCTCGGCTCCCCACTCCCCAGATGGCTGCTTCACCCAGGGGAACAGGTGGCTTGTTTAGAGGGGTGGCCTACTGTGTCTTCAGCTGCAAGGCAGGACCCGGACTGAGCAGAAAGATAGGGTGACAACGGTCCATTCATCATGCCCTCTGTAAAGCAGGCAGGGTAAGTGGGCCCAGCACTACAGCATCACCATCCTCGCGTCTGTCCTATCCAGTTTTGGTAAAGTTCCCTTTGAAAAGTCCTGTCCCTCTTTTCCAGCCTGAGCTATGGGGAACGGAGGGGTGAGAGGGTTACGTGTCTAAAGGCCACCAGACCTCCAGGCAGGAGAGCTGGGGAAGGGAGAGCCAGTATGTCTGGGAGAAGGCCCCAACAAGGGCTACAGCTCCCCACAGGGCCTATTCTGCTGCCCCCAAATTCTCGTGGCCCTGAGCTTGCCATCTGGCAAACTGACGTGTGGGGCTGGAGGCGAAAGCCCAGGGCTCGCCCCACCTTCTCAGAACGGTTCCCTCACTCTTGCCCCTTTTGGCTCTGCGGCAGGGGATGGCCATGCCCACCTCTCCCGGGATGGCCACAGCTCTGCACCTGCCCCCTAGGCACCGGGCGAGGAGCAGGTCGCGCCTGCGCAGCGGGTCCAAGGCACAAGCCCCGAGGGTCCAGCCCGTGGAGGTCGGGGAGGCGGCGGGTCCGTCCGGTGTCCCCTCCCGAAGCCCCCGTGCCCGCGCCCCGGCCGCCCCCGGTTACCTGTGCGAGTCCTGGTCTCCCCCGGGGGACGCTCCCGCCGGCGCTCAGTACGGGCGATTGGCGTCTTTGGGCCGCTTCAGCTGCACCTTGAGCCTCTTCATACCGATCTGGAAGCCGTTCATGGCCTGGATGGCGGTCTGCGCGCTGGCCGGGTTGTCGAAACTCACGAAGCCTGGCGAGACACGAGGGACGAGGGCCTGGGTTTCCACTGGGCCGCCGGGGCGGGAGGGGGAGGTGGGGAGAAGTCGGGGCCGAGGGCGGGGCGGGGCCGAGCCGACGGCGGCCCCTCCCTGCGCTCCCGCCCCGCCTCCGGGCAGGGGCGGGGCTCGAGGCTCCTCCCCCGGGCCCGGCCCCCGGCCGGCCTCACACCCCCCTCCAGCCCGCGTGCCCGCGGCCCCTCCCGGGGTGGGCGCTCCGAGGCCCCAGCCTCGCCGACCAGCGGGGCCCGGCCGGGTCTCCCCGGCTCTACCTCGGCGTCGGGCGGCGCCCTCTCCCACGAGCGGGGAGCCCGCGGCGCAGCGGGGCTCGGACCGGCGCCCGCCCCCCACCCCGGCCGGCCCCGGCACCTCGGCCCTCTCCGGCGGCGGGAGAGGGCGGACACACCTGCGGGTGGAGGAGTTTATTGGACACTGTCCTCCCTGACAGGAGGGGGCCTGGCAGCGGGAGGGCACAGGGTGCCGGCCTGGGGAGAGAGAGGAGTGCGAGGGGGAGGGAGGGAGGCACCCCGGAGAAGACTTCGCCGCCGTTCGGGCCACCCCCTGCGCGAGTGCCCTCGGGCCACAGGGGAGGGCCGAGGCTGCGTCCTCAGGCCCCTCCACCCCCTCCCGGTCCTGGCCGAGGCTGTCCCCAGCCGGGCTCCTGGTGGACACTGCGGTTCAGTCCAGACCGACTCGCATTAACCCACCACCTTGTACCCAGGGGCTGTCGGCATCTCCCTTTTATTTAGTGAAAGTCCCAGCCATGGGAGCAAGTGCTGCTGCCCTGGACTAAGCACGCACCAACTGATGTGTCCCCCATGAGCCCCTCGTAACAACAATATTAGTATTATAACAATAACAGTACAAATTAACACCATTAGCAAAAATCTGTGGAGAGCCTGCCAAAGGCCTTTTCACCCCTTCACTCTCCCAACATCCCAGGACAGGTTACAGAGCCCTGCATGGCTCTGGGCTCCCGTCATCTTCTGAAACACCAAGTTCCCAGATGGAGATGGATCAGGTCCGTGAGAAGTCACCTTTCTGAAACTTTGAGTGCATTTCCTTAAACTTTGAGTTACGTCAGCATGTCCCAGAATGGCCCCGATAGGTGCACCTTGAGAAAGGGGCTTCTGTGGCCTCCTAGGTTTATAGCCAGGCCCTTCTGGGGCAGTTCAAGGCACATTAACAAATAAAAGCATCCCCTCCCATCCCCAGTTCTCCAATAAATAAAATGTATCTCTTTATTTAACCTAATCTTCCCTGAAATTTATTTGATTTAGAGGCTTTTCCTCTGTAAAACCTGCCTTTATTTCTCCTGTAAAATCTCCCTACAAAATATATGAAACTAAGTGTTCCCAGGCCACCCTGCAAACCTGCCTCATTTGGGAGGCTTGTCCCCAAATAGCGTTGCATAGATAAGGGATAGATATACAGACCGGCTGAAGTAGAAGCTGTCTTCTTGGTTCACTGTCGGTTACCTCCAGCCTGGCCCGCCTGTGGTCCCTCCCTGCTCTCTCCTTGCCCCAGACACTTTCCCCATGTGGCTTATTTTCTCTTTCTCGTGTCCTTCCTGTGTTTGCTCATATTTGCTCCTGCTGCAACACATATTAAAGATGTGTGTGTGTGTGTGTGTGTGTGTGTGCATGTGAGCTCAGAAGGAACTGGTCAAAGCTGGTCCCAAAGCAACATAACAACATCTGTAAAAGCCTATATGTCAAAATAGATAGGAGAGATTTAGGATTATCCATAGCTGAAGATTAGTGTGAATAATCCTCCCTCCTCTCCTCTCACCCCCCACCCCCGGCCCATCCCTTCCCCATCAACCTATGTGTCTGATGGCGAGTCAAGTTGTTAGAGCAGAGCAGTTTTCAAATGTGTGAATTGTGTCTGTTACAGTGCTCTCCCCCAGACTAAGGAGGGTGGTCAAACCAAAGCCTCTCTCCCTACGGGGACAAGATAGCCTAACCGTGGGTGACAGGTTACATCCCTCCTTCCTCTGCTGGCCCACCAGCACCACCAGCTCTGGCTCTACCTGGCCATCTGCACCTGCCACCTGCACTGCACTACGAAGGAGACAGGAGAAAGATAAAAGGGCTGGAGGTGCTGTGGTGTAAAGGGAGGCGCAGCCGCTGAGTGGGGAGAAGGGGCAGAAAGGTGCTGGAGGAGGGAAGCCCAGCCTTTGAGGAAGAATCTAGTCTCCAGAAGCCCAGGGGTTGAGAAGGACTCCAGTCTGGAGGGAACCTTTCTTCCTCAACCAATTTTGTTGAGTGGCTAGCAGCCTGAGAAGGGAGCTTGTCCCCCACTGGCAGGGCTCTGGGCACCATCTCCCATGGTTACCGGCTTCCTTCTTCCAGAGTCCCTTCCCCCTCCCCCCACCCCCAAGGAAGCTCCTGCCTCTGAGACCTTGGACGCCTTGAAGACAGGAGGCCCTCCTGGTGCCGCCACCCAGCTCTTTCAACTGAGCGACAATTTGTGCTGCCCATGAGCTCCCCAAAGCCTCTCTCTATGCTTAATCATGTACAACAAAACGGCCCCTCTTTCTGGGAACATAGAGAGATCTGGCACTTCTTGAGGGTCCACTCTGACCAAGCCCCTCACACACACCATCTCATGTAACCCCAGGGCGTCCCCGAGGACTGACTGCTGAAGTCCGCACTTCACACGTGAGAACACTGAGGCTCAGACGGGGACAGGAGTTGCCCATGAAGTGCTGGAGTTTGTTCTCACACTAAAGGCCTCTGGGAGGGTTGCAGAGAGCTCGGGTGTGAGCCAGAACCCAAGGCGCTCAAGGAGGAACCGCTGGGCCCGGCAAACATGGGGGCAGACTGTCGTTTTTCAAGGCGGGTGGATGTTTAGTGCTAGAAGTTTATTCAGGGATAGAGGACAGAGCCAGAGTAGAGGTATTCAGAAGATCCCCCCCCAAAAAAAGGGGGAGGAAAAAACCGTTGGTCCTGGAGAATTTAAATGGGCCAATGGCGGGGGTAGTGTTTGGGCAAATTAAGGAAATGCTTTTGAAAAACGGGGTTGCTCTGACGTCAAGGACAGCCAGGAATGGCACACACGCACAAAGGGTATGGCTGGAGACCAAGCAGCTCTAGCCCAGGTGCCCAGTGCTTTGTGGGCTCCTAGCAGTTTGCTTTGATTCTTGTAACATCTGAGGCTTACTGACAGAGCAAATACAAAGACCTCCAGTTTGTTGTTTTACGCACACAATTGTAATGCATCAGAAGAAACACTAAACACTGGTCACACAGTGGAGGGGTGCAGCCCAGTCCTTTTCTCTGGCTTTGTTTTCCCAATGCTCAAAGAGACTAGAGCTGCCGAGGCAACTCCATGCACCAAGGTACCCCCACCATTCCAGGGGAAGGGACAATGAAGCAAAGATCCTGACTGCTCTGGCGAGGACACGCTAAAATGTCAAGCCCTTCATGGTTCTGGCAAGTTGGTCTCCAAACTGGAATTTCCTTAACATGTTCTTCCCGATGCTTCTACACTCTTCTTATACCTTCCCCCTCCCACCCCCAAGCTGTGACCTGAGTTCCCTGGACAACACAGGCTCCTATTCTGTCCTCACAGCTTCAGAATCTGGGGGCCAACTCAGCTCACACTCAGCGTGGCCTCTGGGGACTGGCTCCTCAGTCCGTGGGGAATCATGAGTGGCTCTGGCCCCGGAAAAAGGGCTGATGGAGGTGGAAGAGGAGGTGAGAGAGGGACTAAGGAGGAATGGAGGGGAGAGGTGTGAGGATGAGGTGGGACTTTGGGTTTGAAGCAAATCAAAACACAGGATGCCCAGTTACATTGGAATTTCAGATAAACAGTGACTACTTTAGCATAAGCATATTCCAAGTATTGCATGGGCCATATAGAATGTAACATTTGGGACAAACTTACACTAAAAGTGCATCCGTTGTTTATCTGAAATTCCAGTAAACTGGCCATCCTTTATTTTATCTGACAACCATACTCCAAGATTCTCCCCAGTCCCTCCTCCCCATCTAACACCCTGCCACCAGGCAAACTTCCTGAAAGCTGTCTCTTCATTCTACTGCTGTGAGCTCAAGGACCTCCCGCCATCTTCCACTGCCTACCACACCACATGGAACATCTTCACCTGAATGGTCCAACCCTCCCCAGCACAGACCCTCCCTCACAGATGGTCTCCCCTGAACCCGCCTTTCTCCCCAAAGCCTCCAGCTTCCCTACTCACATCTTTGGCTCTTCTCATCCCAGACCCCACACCCTTGTCCCTTCTATTCTCCCTGCCTAGAATCCCCACCCCGTCCTTTGGCTATCCACCTGCCTTTCTCATTACTCCAGGAACTAGGCACCTTGCAGATTTCACTGCTGCGGGGTAGGTGTGATTTTCATCTATGCTCACACCTGAGGCTTCCTGAGGGCAGGGACCATTTTCCTCTTCCTGACTCTTCAACATGTGGCTCTGGTGATCTGAGAGGGGTGGGGGGGAAGGAGAGTTCATTGGATGGCAGGAGGGGAGCAAAGAGCGAGGAAGACAGAGAAGGGGGTGGGGGCAGGACAGAGGAAGCCAAGGGGAAGGCAGGGTGGGGGCCTCAGCTGGGCAGAGCCCCTCCCCAAGGATCATGCTCAGCTTTCATTCAGGGGCCACTCTGACAGTGAGAGGTGAGGGGCTTCTGGAGAAATGCATGTTGGTGTGCTCTGCTTGCTGCCCCCTTCCACCCCTGTCCAAAGTGGCTCCTCCCCCTCCTCTGTCTGTGGGAACTGGGACTGTAGCAGGGAGGGCAACCTGTCTCTTGGACTGGGAAGGGGGAGATGGGAGCTGGATGAGAGGTGGGCAGGGAAAGCCAAGAAGCCAAAAGTAGAAGAGAGAAGGGTGAGAGAGGGTGGCTGGAGACGGGGCCCAACGGAGCACCTGGGGGAGGGGGGCGTGTGAAGGAGCAGGTTAAAAGCAGTTGGACACCAGTAAATTGGTGCGAGCACCGCCCTGTCCTAGGTGAAGCTAGTTGGTTTGTTATCTTTACCCACCAAAGCATTTACTTTGGTTAGTCGCCCGATCCACAAACACTTTCGAGGAGATGACATTACCGAAAGGGAGGAACATCTGCATCAGCTCAGCGTCCCCAAACTCCTGGGGCAGATGGTAGATGAACAGGTTACAGCCCTCGGGCCCTGCGGTGAGGGGAGGGGGTGGGGCGGGGGAGGAGGGATGGCGGGGTGGGGGAAGAGAGAGACAGAGGAGAGGTGAGCGAGTTAGGCAGCGGCAGCAGGGAGGGGTGGGGGCGAGGTTAGGAAGGGGGGTCTCATCCAAGATCCAAGAAGAATGGGGGCTACTGAGCCCACCGTCTGAGCTCTGATCTCTGCTCTGCCCTTGGGCAAGTCACCAAACCTCTCTGTGCCTCAGCTGCCTTTTCTGCAAAATGGATCTATAACAGGGTGCCTGCCTAGCACCCCTGGGGATCCAGAGGCAGAGGCGATGAGTAAAAGGGGCAGCTCAGCCCATCCTCCTTCCTGGCCGGCAGCCACTCCTTCCCATTTGGTTCCCAGTGGTCCCACCTTCTCAAACTCAGCCCTGGTCTTGAAAGCAGAAATCAAGATTTGTCCTGCCTCCAGTGGGCTAGGTGTACAGGGGTCTTCAAGCAAGGCCCCGGGATTAGCCGGGGTAGCCATGAGCCTCATTATGTGAGAGGCTCCTCATTTCATTACAAGAATAACAGCCCTGCCACTGCTATAGCTTGTCATCCCCACTTCACAGATGAGAAAACTGAGGCCCAGAGAGGCTGAGTCACATGCCAAAAGTCTCACAGCTAGTAGGGGGTGGAGCCAGGATTCAGACTCAGGCCATCTGCCTCCGGTCTGTGCTTTCCTCTCTACCTGTCGTAAATCTCAACACCCCAGCAACTCTGAACTCGGATGAGGCCTGTGCATTTCTGAAATTTCCAGACAGCTAAAGATCTACATTTTTCTTTCTAAATGACCCAAATGCTCAATTTTAACTCTTTGAAATGGAAATCTCTCCAAGGTACTTCATCTATTTCCTGCCATCTTAAACATAGTATGCCGCATGCTTCCACCTTTTAAAGGGTGGTCATTTCGACAGTTTCCACCCGTGAAGGACATGCAAAGGAACAAGCTTCAGTTGTCAGAGTCATGGAAGAGCCGAGGTTCTGATCAGAGGCTGGTGCAAACTAAGCATGAGCTCAAACGTGAAGGCTGTAAGGCACCGACGTGGGCTGAGATGTGGCTTTTGGGGCCAGAACCAACAATCACGGTTCTCTGGGACGGGCAAGGCTGCCTGACAGCCCAGGCCTGGAGCCAAGAGCTTGCTCTGCAGTCTCTGCCCTTCTCTCCCCTTCCTCCGCTCTCCCACCTCTCTCCAAAGACTCCTCCGACCACACGCCACCCTCCGAGCTGCCCACCTCCGTCCTTGGTCCCCAACCCATCCTCCCCTCCCTGGACTGCTGTCTCCCAGGCAAACTGCCAGCTGACGGCGCATTCAGAACCGGCGCAAGCGTGCACCCAGGGGTCCCCAGTGCTGGATCCCCCAAGCTCTGGTGACCCTCTCCTAGCCCATCCCTTCCAACCGCGTATGTTCACTGGCTCATGCTCTGTGACTGTGTCCCTTGATGGTCCCCAGCTAGATGTGAGTCCCCTTGGGGCAGGAAACAGCTTGAAGGCCTGATCTAAGTAAGGCACACCTCTTCTAGGACCCCACCCAGATACTCCCCACCCCCTCTCCCTTCCGGTGCTCCTTGAGTTCGCACTCATACTCTGTGGTCTGAGACTCTTTCTCCCTCATGTCTGGGAGGTTTTCTCACCAGCCAGACGGGGTGCTCTCTAGGGGCAGGAGCATTTGCCTCCTTCTGTCCTCCTACCCACCCTCCACCCGCACCCCAACCCCCCAGTACATGCCTTCTCTCCTCCTCGCATCCCCATTCTTCAGGGCTTCTCTCTCCACTCCACCCCATGCTGACACCTGCCTTGAACTTGGGGCCCATGTTCCAAGTTCAAGTTCTGTAAGCTGTTTCTGTGGATGTAATATCTGTTGTCATCAGAGAGACAAGGAGCCTTCAAGGGCAAGGCCCGCAGAGTGAGTCCCATCAGCGTGGTGCGTGCCTGAGCCCCGCCAGTCTCGTGTGCCTCACCCCTCAACAAGGAGCCTACACATTTTCCTACGCTGGCTGCCCCGGAGCTCCCACTGCATTGCCTCATTCATGGATTAGAGAGCAGCCAGATGGCACAACCAGCAGGACTTTGGAGATCAATCTGGTCCAACCCAGCCTCCTAAAATATGGTGAAACAGAGCTCCAGAGACACACAGGGCCTACCCCTGACCACACAGCAGCCCCAGGCAGAGCCAGGAATGGAGCCAAACCTGAGGGTAACCTTGGCCTGTCTGTGGGCAGACAGCCTCTGGGGATTCAGGCATCTGCTGGTTTTCAGGCTCAACTCAAAGACAGGGAAGGTCCTCCCCAGCCACCAGTGTGTCCTGGTATTTCAGTGGCATTACACAGGAGGAAGTGACCAGAAGGTGAAGAGGCCATGGATAGAGGAACACAGCTTTCTTTTTCATCCATGCCTCTGGCAACTCTGTGGACACAGCCGGGTCTCATCTTTTGTTCCTGCTGTTCCCCCACCAGGAATGCCTGTCTCCCCATCTCTATGAGCTGAAGATCTCATCTGTCAGGGCCCCCCAAAGCCTTCCTTGACCACTCCACCTCCAGCGCCATGAGCTCTCCCTCATATGCAGTGTGGCTCTGTAAGCATCTGGGTTCATGTCTTACCCCTCCCCATGCCCTGCTCCCCAGGGCCACTCATCCTGTGCACCAAAGTCAGGGACAATGGGGACAGTAATGGAAGATCTCTTGGCCAAAGGGGAGGCTACAGTGGCGACTGACCACACAGGGTCTGGTCTAGGGAACAGGGCATGACAGTGGGGAAGTGAGGCTGCTCACAGACAGAGAGAAGTTATGGGAAGGAGCTGAGCTAGATGCGTGGGTGAGCACAGTGTGAGGTAGGGGCAGGGCAAGGAGCAGATGGAGGGTCTGAGTTTAAGGCTGGTGTTGGGAGCGGTCATGTGTGTTGGTCAGAGCAACACTGACCTGCGGGGGTGTATGTGTGTGTGTGTGTTTGTGTGTGTGTGTGTGTGTGTGTGTGTGTGTGTGTGTGTGTAGCAGGGTTTAGAGACCTCTGGATGCACAGACCAGAGAGATGCAGGTGCTGACGACAGGGTGAGGGTGGGTGAGCCTGAGAAAGTGGAGCGATAAAAGCAGTAGCCCCTGGAGGCTTAGCTCTCTCTGCTCTGGGCCTGGAACAGGCGACTCTGGGACTGCTGGACCCCACTCCTTGCGCCCTGATCTGACCAAAGTGGCACTGGAAGGCTTGGACCAGGTGGGAGGAGGGCAGGGTGGGGCAGGCTCCAGGGCCTCAGCCCAGGGAGGGGACCTTCCGGTAGAGGTGAGGCTGATGGACCTCCCACACATACGTCACTGATGGTGGGCCAGGTGTCACTCAGGCCTGGGCAGGGGGCCCCACTATGCAAGGCTGAGAGGGGAGGGATCAGCTGAGTTGGAAGTCAGCCCAGAGAAGGTTGCTTCCAAGGGCAGGCTCTCAGCTGTTCAGGCTCTAGGCCTCTTTGGGGCCTGTCTGACCAGAGGGCTTTGGACCAGCAGACCCCAGAGTCCTTCCCAGGACTAGCCTGTATCCCATGGCTCTGGGACGGTCTGCTGTAAGGGCTCAGTGCCAGCCATTGGAGACCAGGGGAACCCCTGGCCATGTGGGCTACTGGGGCAGATGTGGTGGCCTCGCCTGCGCGTGACTCTTTACATGGGGGTGGGGAGGACAGGACCTCGTCAGTGTTTCTGCCAGTCAAACTGAGCTCATGCAGGCCTATCACATGCCCCGGGGCGGGCTTGTGATTACAGCTCCTGCAGGTCTCTGGGCTCTGGAAGGGAGGACACTGGGGTCTCTGTGTGTCCCAGCCTCGCTGGGCCACTGGCCTTGCCTGGCCAACCCTGCTCACACTGGGGCCTCTGGCTGTGGCTTTCCAGGATCCCCTTCTTCCACTAGGTCTGCACCGAAGCGCCCCCATCCCCTCCTGCTGTGCACTCCTGCCCCGGGAGCTCGACCTGGCTCTCCTGCTCACCCAGAGGGCACAACTTCTTCCGTAAGTTCTCCCTACTCCCCCCATGCCCAGCCATAAGCATTCCTACCTCTCCCCTTCCTCTCCACTGGGGGAGGGGGAATTCTTGGACCCCAAGCCATCCGGGGCCCCACCTTCCTAACCTCCCACTACTGGGGCTGCAGAGCTGCCCACGAAAAGCCCACCTCCTTGCGTGGAGAGTGCCGCATCTCCCCATCCTGCCGTCTCCTCTCACCCTTCAACACAGCACACAACCATGGTCGTCTTTCCAACAAACACCCAAAGGCCCAGGAGAGCAGCCGCCTTGGGAGGGGGAGAGGGGCCTGGGAACCCGGCTCGAGGACTCACCTTCTCTCTGTTGCTGGGGGATCATTGGAGGTGGCTGAGGAAAGGCCTGGCTTATCTGACCATAGGCAGCAGGGTAGGCAGCTGCTGGAGGGCCAAAGAGAAAAGGCAAGAGGACACAGGACAGTGACAGGACAGAGACAGGAAGAGAGACATTTCAGTGTTGAGCAGTGACGGCGGATCAGCCAAAGTGCACTTCAGCTCAGCCGCTCAGGACGAAGCCAGCCTTCGGCAGTGAAGGGGAAGCGGCAGAGTGCGGATCAGAAGTGTGTGCGTGTGCGCGGGTGCGGGTGTGTGTGTCGCCCGGCCTGGGGGTAGAGTGACAGAACTTGACTGACAGCTTGCCTTGGGCTTTCTGCAGTGGCTGCTTCGCCCAGGGCTGCCTCTTGTCACCTCTCCTCTTTTCTACCTCTCGCAGCCTCCCTCCCTTGTTCTCTGTCATCCTTGCTCACGCCAACCCACTACCTGTGATTGGGGGGGGCACATGGGAGATTGAAACTGCTTCCCTTCCAGGGTCTCTCCTTCCCTCAAGCCCAGGCAGCTAAGCTTCCAGGACCAGCGATTCTGGACTGTAGTGGACAGCACCCCAGCTCTGGCCTCACCACTTGCTACTGCGTGGCTTGGTGCTCCTGGCCAAACTGGCCTGGCAGCCCCACAGGGAAGGGAAATCTGGCCTCGGAGATGAGTAACTGCACACACAGCAAGGTCAATGCTTCAGCCTGGCTTACCAACTTGTCCAGAGTCCTGACCACCCACCACTGCAAGGGCACCCATGGGCAACTGCGGGAATGCTAGGGGCCTGCAGAGGGTGGCAGCCTGAAGCAGGGGTCCCTGGGAGTATGCCCTCCTTCCTTCACCACAGCTCCCACCACTTCCACCCCCTCCCCTCCCCCTCCCACACAGTGCTGGGCCCAGGCCTAGTGTGGGGAGGGGCATGGTGCCCAGGCAGGAGTGGGGAGACAACAAAGCTGGGGGAGCCATGGGAACGTGCGGATACTAACGACCTGCATACTGCTGCACTCCAGCGTAGGCCTGCTGCAGGGGGTCCGCGGCGGTCGGGCTCTGCGCTGCGGGGAGCCAAAGGGGCAGAGGTCAGTGATACCCACCCAACCCAGCCCTTCCCCCACCGTGCCCACGGAGATGACACTGTGGCTGCATTGTCCTTCCCAGCTGCTGTAGTGTCTGCTCTGGGGCCAGTCATCTGACAGGAACCCTGAGTGCCTGGACCCTGCTGGGGTTCCCTCTTCCCCTATCCAGGGCCTTTAGGAGGGTGGAGGTTGCCCGCCCTGGCTGGGGGATGCAGGCTGAAGCTGGCCTGGGTGGGGTGAGATAGATGCTTCATGCAGAAGGCTGGGAAGGAGACGCCAGAGGAAGCTCAGCCATGAGGGGCTTAGTGGGGACACACGAGGGACCAGGCCCCAGAGAAGGGCTGTGGAAAAGTGGGCAAGGGGGCAAGAGGCTGCCAGGAGGATGGGCTCATCCTCACTACCCCCAGCAGAAGTCGGGGGCAGAACCCAGCTGGATCCAGGAGGCCTCACCCTGCTACTCTGTCTTCCTGGGCCACCCCCCTGCTCAAACAGAGGGACCCTCTCCTTTAGTCTTAGGGAGTTTGCACAAGGCATGGAGGCTCCCACTCCTCGGCTGTAGCTGAGACACCCTGAGCAGGCCTGGCCACACACATAAGGCCTGTCCACGGGCTAGGAGAGGAGCAGTGTCCACAGAAACCGAAGGACCAGCAGACCAAGGATCTCCCTCCAACCTAACTTCCTGACCCTTGGATGACTACTGCCCCGTGAGAGAAGAGGACATTTACGACAATACTCGGGGACAGTGAGACTGGGGAAGGGCTTGGTTCGCTTCTATTGCCTCTGCTGTGTCTTCATAGCTGTGAGCAAAAGCCTGGTGTGTGGGTCAATGGAGGGCACTGCCTTTGGTGACCTTGGCCAGTGGGAGTGGGCTGACCTCAGAGACCCAGAAAGGTAGGTGGAGATGATCTAGCCGCAGTATGTTTAGGGCAAACTGGATAACAGGGAGGCAGAAAGAAAACCATCTGGGTTTATCTGCTTGGTAACCTAGGCCAGCCAAGCTAACTGGCATGCCAGACTTAGGGGCCTTGTAGGCCAGGAAGAATTTCCAAACATCCTTTCTGAGCTCTCATTTCTGAACCTCGGTAACATCGCACTTGAACGAGAGCACCTGGGCCTCGGGGGAGCAGGGGAAACCCTGGGGCAGAGATCCTCAGACAGTGTGGACTGCAGCAGGGAGCTGGGCCAGGGTGCTGCTCAGACAGGTAGCTGAAGATGGGTCAGGATGCAGGCCCCTTTCTGACCCTGTCCTATGTCTACTCCTCTCTTTCCCCCACAGCGGAGGCTGGAGCCAGGAGCTGCCAGTGCTGAGGTGGTGGCGGTGCCTGGCAGGGTACCCTCTCCTCTCTCCTGCTGCTCCCTCTCCCTGACCCCTCCCCCAGCCTTAGCTCTCTGGAGAGAAACCCACATCTGGCTCGTCCTCTTGGTCTCCCCAGCTGCTCAGTCACACAGTGCCTTTATGCAAATTAGAAAAAGGAGTCTATCTCTGGCCACATGTTGGTGCCCTGAGTAAAATAAAACCTGAAGAACTTACATGACAGCTACCCCTCTCCCACTACACACAGTGCCAGGATCATAGCAAGTGCTCAGCAAATACTGTGACATAAGGAAAGAAGGAATGGCCCTTAATGTTCACAGAGACCCCTTCAGGGGTGTCATGTGGCAGGAAAGGCTACACTGTGAGCCTCCAACATGATCTCGGTGAACAGGAGGGGAGAACAGGGATGCTACGTGGGGCTAGGAGTGGAGAGAAGCATTTCTGAGGCCCATCTCTACTTCTCTGCTTAATGACCTCATTAGTAACTGCCAAAGAGTGAACATTTTGAAGGATCTCGCTCATTATAGCAAATCCAAACTCCGCATTTAAAGATGGTAAATTAATTTTTTTAATGTACTACTTTTCTCCTTTCCTTCCCTCCATCCCTCCCTCCTGCTCTGGCAGGGGATTGTTTATGGGACGTGCCAGATTGTTACAAATGGGGGAGAGAAACATTTCCAAATTCCATGAGGGAAACAGCTCACAGATGCTGGTGGGGGTAGGAAAAGAACAGGTTTGTCAAAATCCAGAGCTCCAGATGGGCTTGTGGGCATGGAGGAGGGGGGAAGTGAAACCACCCAGATGTGCTGGGGACTGTATCTCCCAGTCCACGAGCCTGAGGAAAGAGGAGCCCAGGAAGCTGAGACTGGTGGGCTCTCGCCCACCTCCAACTTGCCAAGTCCCTGCCCAGCCTCCCTTGCCAGCCTGGAGTCTTCATCCCGAAACAACTCCGGGCCCTGCCACTTCTCTCTCTAGGCTTCTCTGGCCTCTTCTCTATGCACAGAGAAGTGAGTAGAGGGGCATGCACTAGAATAAGACCAAGGACAGGTCCAAGTTCAAAGTCAGGACATTGTCTTCCGTTTTGCTCTAGCACAGTGACCTTGTACTCTGCTGCTGCTGCTGGAATGTTTCTATTCTCTGGATGTCTGAGCCTCACTCCTGAAATCATAATCAGACACTGAAATCATAAACTCTGGGCTTCTGTGGTTTTACAAAGCCACAGAGTAGATTCTGATGGGCAAGCAGAGTGGGTAGTGTTACTCTGCTGCCCACTCCTGACGCACCCCTGGCCGACCTCCTCTGCCCTAGTTGAACCAACCTCATCATCCTTGGCCTGCCAGGCAGGCCCCCTCCTCCCGTTGGGACTCCAGGATAGCTGTTCCACAGGACACGCCCCTTGTTTATCCTCTCCCCTCCAATTCCTGCCCGCTGTCCAAGTCCAATCTGAGCCTCCTGTCAGTGCAGCTCAGCTGAGCTTCAGCCTACAGAACTCTCCCTTCGATGGAATCTTTAGCACCTTTGCCTTTTTAAAACTAAATTAAATTAATTAATTACTTTTTATTTACTTAATTTTATTGTTGAAAGTATTATGGATGTCTCTCCTCTTCCTTGAGAACATTCACTCTTAATCAGACTCTATTCTGCTTATTGTTTTAACATTCTGGCTATGTATATTGTGTTCCTGACTGTTCTTTGACCTCCCAGGGGATAAGTCCACGTCTTGCCCTCCTTCTGGGGCCACCCCTTCCATCCAGCACGGATGGGGCACTTGTACTTATGGGGACTCTGTAACCTTGTCATCTGCCCTCTGGGAAGGAGGACAGCACTCCTCATCTCTGACACACTGCCCTTTGCTAGTCTACTCGAGGGCTTCGGGCCCATTTCTCCTGCTGTCCATCCTCAAGACCAGAGACGGGAACTGCTTTAAGTCAGCTGGACAGTCCCACCGTGAAAGAGCTGCTCAGTTTGAGAGGAACACCGTTAATCAGTGGAGGGCCTCCCGGATCTTCCGTGTGTGCTAGAATTCATGAAAGCAGGTCCGGTGAGCTGTCCGAGGTGCTGATCCTCTGTGCGACCTGCTGACCAGGGTTTTGCGTGCACTGGTCTATGCTGGCCAGAATGTCAATCTATGTCTCTCCCCTTCATTCCCAAAACAGTCTTTTTACTTAACACTAAATATAATTATTCTTTTAGCTTCTATCCCCTTACTTCTTCTAGGTCAAATTCACTCTCAATTAATTTGCAGTTACTAGCCTCTTTACCTGGTTGTAGAATTACTTATTTTTTCTTTTCTGCCCTGAAGGAGCCCCAGGAATGCAGTTCTTTCTCACCTATCAGACTGACACGTCCCCAAGGATGGAAATTTAGTTTCTCTCACCAGAGGTTCCCTGAGGGAAGGCAGGGAGCTGTTCTCCCTGATCACATTTGAGATTCCACCAAGGAATGGACAGAGGGCAAAAGCCACACATTCCCTGTAATACCAGCAAGGGCAGGGGCAGAATGGACAAGGAGTGTGCTGCAAGGGTAAGGAGGGGCTGCCAGATGTGCTTACCTGGGTAGGGGTGGATGCCGTTGGCAAACACAGCTTCCGCAGCAGGTTGCCCATTGGCCTGTGGGGGGAGGCCGGTGAAGCCATTCACCCCAATGGGGGATGGGATGCTAGGCACAGCTGGTGCAGTGATGCCCGGAGGGGTGCTGCCACCTGGTTTCAGAGGTGGAGGAGGAGGGGAGGCAAGCAGAACAAAGGTGAGGAAAGGCCAACCTATGAAGTTCCACTTTCTGGCTTCAAGGGCCTGGGCATAGACTTGGGATTCACACACCAACTCAGTCTTACCTTGAATCATGCCTTGGACTATCTCCATGCATGGAGTGGTTCCACTCATCCCAATTGTATCCATTCTTCAAGGCAGAGTTCAAATCCCACCTACCCCATGAAGACTTCCCTGACCACTGACCACTCAACCTTTGAACTACAGCACATAGACTAGTCTCAGTGCCCTTGACTTTGATCATACTTGGTCTTCATTCTTTTTCAGTGACTTTTGCTCACCCCAGCTAAGTCAGGATGGGCTAGTCCCTGTTTAGCCACCAAGGGGCTTCTAAGTTACTGGCTCTGCTCTATTATCTGGATCACTGAGGGGACTGATCTGTCTCCCAGGAAGTTTTGCTACTTGGGTGGAAGAGGTCTTAATTCTGGAGTTCCCCTGCAATGAGGGAGAAAGGATTTTACAGAGTCCAGACTCAGCCTTATTCATACACAGTAGACAATTTTGCCTCCTCCAGCTGAGATAATGAGGATGCTCATAATGGTGAGAGTCAAGCTGGGGTCAGATGACAATATGCTGTGCCCTCTCTATGCCAGGTGGGTGGAACCAAAGGTGTGGCTGGCACGGTGATTGTACCAAGGCCTCAAAGCTGGAAAGGGCCTTCCTCTTCATGTAGGAAGTAGGATCTCTCTGTGGATGAGGACCTGAGTCTGGTCTGGGCTCAGGAGTATTCCGAGGTTGGAGATCAGAACAGTGGGGGAAGGACTCAAGTTGGGCCTAGAGATGGCACAGTCTTTTATGGATTTTATCTGGGAAAGGAATGGCTCCTGGGTGTGAGGAAGGCTGCTTCTATGACCTGGGTGCAGAGAGCCAAGGAAGCTTGGTGACTGAAAGCCTGGGCTGTTGGGCCAGCCCTTGGACTAGACAAGGTTTTCTTATCTTGGACACTGTTGACATTTGTGGTCAGACATTTCCTTGTTACAAGGGCTGCCTTGTGCATTGTTGGATGTTTAGCATCATCCCTGGTCTTTACCTACTAAGTTAGAGTATCACTCCCCTCCCTAAGTTGAGACAACTAATAAGGTTTCAGGATATTGCCAGATATCTTTGGGGTGGGGTGGTGGTGGGGGTATGAAACTATTGCCTCAGTTGAGAATCACTGAACTGGGTAATACCCAGAATCCAATTCAAAATACACTTCGTGGGCTGTTTCCAACCCCCTATCCTTTAATAACTCTGTGGTTGTCTCTCACTTGTGTAGTTCTCTTAGAAAACGCCAATGAGTCTATGTTGGGTTAAAGGGAAATTGAAAAATCCGCTCCTTCTACGCTTGGGCCAGAGACCAAACAAGGCCACAGAATGGGCAGGACTCTTGTCTCCTCAGATCTCAGGGGAAGATGTGTTCACGTCAATTTCTTTCCAAAACAATTTGAGTGAAATTCCCACCACCCTGAAATCATATCATGGACTTCATGCGGCCCATCTTCCCTTGCATCCCCAGGGATTAGAACATATTTGAGATAAAGTGCCAAGGGATGAGGACTGCTGAGGCCCAGATGCCATGTGCTGTTTGCCACAGGATGGTCCATTGTAGCAGAAATTGGCCAAACAAAAGGTCCAGACCTGGGTTTGTCTGCTCTGCCGGGCAGGGCCCTGTGTTGGTACCTGCCGGCTCACCTGAGGTTGGGGTCATGGGTGCGGCTGCCAAGCCGTTCATGTTGAGGGCTGCCATCTGCTGCATCTGGGCGGCGGCGAAGGCAGCCATGGGGTTCAGGTAGCCACCCTGCGCGACTGATGCCATTAGTGCCGCTTGCTGCTGCATCAGCTGGGGCAGAGGGAGTGGAAAAAATATCATGCGCTTCCGGGGGGCAACCCTCCCCCAGGGGGCTCAGCTCCTGAACACCGGCCTCCCAGGCCCTGAACCCTAGGGAGCTCAGACACATGTCCAACCCCCCAGAAAACCCTGATGTCTCCCCAATTTCTGCCCTAGTTCTCAATGGCTATTAGAAACCACCCTCTAAGAGGCAACTATTAAAAAGTAATGGTAGAATCTTGGGGTCTCTAAAATTGTTGTAAGGGGGGGGCTGGCCCCATGGGTGTTGTTCAGCCCTGTGAAGGCCTGTCATTCATGGAGATGTGACACCCAAAGTTCTAGAGACATGTTAGATGCGCCTCTGTAGAATTAACTTAGCATGGATTTCTGTCCAACTGTTCACACAAAGGTGAGTGGGGGACTGGGGAGGTTGTTAAAACTGGTCAAATTTGAACACCGCTGATTGAGTGAGGGGGTGAAATTGCATTTTTAGAACCAGACCCTGGAATACCTTAATGCCACCCATGTGGGGGTTGTGGCTACAAGTCTAGGAGGCAGCTTAGGGGAGATGCTGGCAGAGAAAGCCCCAAGGTGGCAGAAAGAAGTTGGTGTGCCAGAAAGAAGTTGGTGTGCCAGGAGCCTGGGGTGGGGGGAGACTGCAGCAGAAGTATTGGTACTTTGAGCTTTGGGGAACCTCACAGGACCCCTGCCAGGAGTGACCAGAGGCCTGCACACACCCTTCCATGAGTCGGGGCAGGGGTGGGGTAGTGACAACCAAATTACCTGAACCTCTCTCCCCTCCTCCAGTTGGTGCTCCTACAATTTGACTAGCAGGGGAGCAGTCAGGGTAACCCACTTTGCTGTTCTGCCTAGAAGCATTCTCTCCAGCTCCTCCCTTTAAGAACCAGGACAGCAAACTACCTCCTCCTGGCAACCACCCTGGACTGAACCCCACTTCTCTCAATCCCCTCTGGCCTCTACTCCCTGGGTTCATTTCTGACCACTCCTCACTCCTCAGAGCTGGAGCAGGGTTTTCTAGGCCAGAAAGAGGACTCCCCTCAGCAAAATTAGGGGCCTGTGCCTGTGCTCTGGGGCTCTGAGCAGAGTTAGCTGAGAACCCCTGCCCACATACCCCCATCCCCACCTGCGCCCCCACTTACTGCCTGTGCGTAGGCGCCGTAGGCCCCGAACGGGATGGCCATGGGGTTGAACATGCCCATCTGGCCAGCCATCTGCTGCATTCGCCGCATCGTGCGCTCCTTGTCAGTGTCGGCGAACTTGACCACCAGACTGGATGAGGCTCCCTGCAGCCAGGACTGCGCGTGAGGCCCACCTGCCCTAGCTGCCTCCGCTCCCAGCTGTCCAGCTGTTGGTGCCCCTGACCTAGCCCCTCCCCCTCCTCTGGAGGAGCTTCCCGAAGGCTAGGGGGGGTTTGAGGGTGGACGGCGTCGGTGCACGTCCAGGGGTCTGGGTCTTAACTGGACTGCGGGCATTTTCTATGTCGGAGACTGCGGGCCAGTTCCTTGCATCTCCGGGCCTCAGTGTCCTTGTCTGAGACGTGGCAATCCTGGGAATGCCTTCCTATCTCATGGGGAGGCAGTGAGCGTGGCCCGTGTTTTGCATGGTATGGACCGAGTGCAAGGGTGGGCAGGGGCCCTGCAGGTGCTCTGGGTTGGGCGGGGGTGTTGTCCGGCAGCTGTCCGCGAGCGAGCCCCACCCAGGGGTGGCCGAACTCACCGGCATGGTCTGGCTGCCATGCAGCGCGTTGATGGCGGCTTGCGCCTCGGCATGGGAAGAGTACTTCACAAAGGCGCACCCTGTGGGGACAGGAGAGGCTGAGCCAAGGCCAGAGAAACACAAGGACTGAGAGGCGGGGCACCGAGGGGCACAGGGGTCAGGGCGCATCGAGGAAGAAAGCAGAATGTGAGATACAAAGACCAAGACAAAAAGAGGGCCACCGAAAAACAGACGGAGAAAGACCTGGTCCCACGGCCTCGCATCCCTCCCTGGCTGCCCGCTCCAGGCCCGCTCCAGGCCCGCTCCAGCGGCTCCGAACTGTGCGCGGCCCGCGGCCCGCCTCCCCTGCCCGCCCCGCCCCGCCCCGCCCCGCCCCGCCCCGCCCCCGCTCACCCTTGCTGTTGCCGTCGGGCCCGCGCAGGATGGTGCACTCTTCGATGTTCCCGAAGGCCTCGAAGAGGCGGCGCACATCGTCCTCAGACTGCTGCTTGTTGAGCATGCCCACGAAGAGTTTTCTATCTTCTGGAACAAAATTAGGAGATGCTTACCCGGGCCGGGGGCCGGGCGGCGCGGGGGCGGGCCCGGGGGAAACAGGGCACGGCCCAAGAGAAGGGTTTCAGGGGAGAGGGAGAAGCTGGGCAGAGCGAGGGGCGGCTCAGACCGGAGGGGGAGCAGCGTAGCAGGGAGAGGGCTGGGTTGAGGTGGGGCATAGCTAGAGGGCAGGACGACTGGGTGAAGGGGCTGGGGGAGAGGGCGAGCACAGCCAGAGGGGCAGGTGAAGGAGGAGGGTGGGTATAGCGGGAGCTGGATTGCAGCAACTCTGCCCCCTCCTGCCTAGAGGCCAAGCGCATAGTGAGGGAGCCAGGCCATTGGTCTGGCGCTGACCTAGCGGGTCATTCCTGCAGTCCTGGGATCCCATCTTCCCTCCTCCTAGACACACACTATGCCCTCATCCACCTTCACTCACAGATGCCAAAAGCAACTCACAACAAGCAAGTCTGCCACAGGGCTTTTGCATATGCTATTTACTCTGCCTGGAGTGCCCTCCATATCACAAAGCTGATTCCTTCTCTTTGGTCTCAGTTTAAATATTACTTCCTCACCATTGCCCCTCCTTCTACCTCTCCTTTATTTTCTGTCTCAGCCCCTCACTCTCTTGTCCTGGATTTCAAAGGGCAATTATTTACTGTTTTGCCTATGTAGTTGGTTTCTGTCTAGCTTCCCGGGCACTGCCCTACCCACCCACCCCCCATCCCCTGAGTATGCTCCCTGGGGAAGAGACCAGGCCCCTCCTGGAGCAGTAGTACCTGGCACATATTGGGCCCCGGGGACAGAGTGAATGCTCTATGCCATTCCCAGGGGCACATCTCCTGTCTAGCTCACACATTTTTGTCTTCTTGGTTCAGGCTTTCCCATTTGTTCATGCTGCAAAATTCAGCCCTGGGCACTTTGGGAGAGACTGTTCCTGACCACTGGGCTCCCTGCACTTGTGTTGAGTACCTAGTGATTTATTGACACAACTCAGCTCTGTGCTTAGGCTGATAGAGATCACATTGAGTTGTATGCATCTGTACCACCTGTGACTTCAAAAAGATTTCCAGTCCTACAAGCTCTTCTTTCAATGTGGCTTCACCCCTCCCATTGAGAGGTGGGGGTCCATGTTCCCTTCCCTTGAATCTAGGTGGGGCTTGGGACTGCTCTAACCAATCAAGAATAGCAGAAGCGATGCCAGCTGACTCCAAGGCTAGGTCATAAAAAGGATCAGCTTCCAGTCAGTTCTATCTTTTGGGGATGCTTGTCCTGTGGAAGCCAGACACCATGCTGTGAAGAACACCCAAGTGGCCCATACCATGACTGCACACAGAATGGAACTGAGGCCCCCTGCTGACAGCCAACATCAACCACCAGACTTGGAAGGGAATGAGTCCTCAGATGATTCCAGCCCTAGCCTTTGAGTCGTCCAGCTGAGGTCCAGACACACTGGAGCAGAGACAGGCCTTCCATGCTGTCCCCTGCCTGAATTCTTGACCCACAGAATCCATTGGCATAGTAAATGGTTGTGTTATACCCCTCACTTTGGGGCTAAATTGTTATGCAGCCAAGTGGCTGGAACAGAGGCCCTGTGGTGACAGCACTCAGCAGGCACTGACTAGATGTTTGTGGACTGTTGAAGGACCAGCACACACAGGCACACCAGTCCAAGGCTGCCAAAATGCACCCCCTCCCCCAAAGCTGCAATAAATCCTGTGTTTATGGTTTTTTCTGAAGGCGGGGACTCTGGGACCATGCCCCTCTGTATTCAGGGCAGTTGGTACCTTCTGCCCCAGAGAGTCCCCCTCATTCACACTGCCAGGAGAGTTCATGTAGAGCTGAGGGGCTGTCCTGGTGTCTGCAGCAAAGCAGAGGAAACTTCTAGGCCCCTGCACTCCTTCACTAACCACCCAAGTCTTCCTCTTCAGGAAGCCTTAACCACTGCCCTGAGCACTCAGCACTGGGCAGTTATCATTGATGAGCCTGGGTTCCAATGCCTTCCCTACTCTGAGGCGGCAGGCATCATTGCCAGCTCCTGTTCCCGGTTCTGGGTCAGGGCATGCCAGCCTGGACCTCCACCACTGGCGGGCTTCAGCCAAAGCTCTGGGCCTGGAGGCCCTCCCCTGCCGCCTGCCCTAGCCTGGGCTGCTCAACCAGGCTTCTAGAGCCCTGGCAGGGCTGAGCACACCCCTGTCTTATCTCTAGGGCTCACCAACGCCAGGCTCTGGGCTGGGGGATCAGAGACTGGGAAACCAAGAAACAGGGAGAAAGACCGTAGAAAGGGGTGAAGCTGAGGAGGCATGGCAGGAGGTGAGGTTAAGAGCAGAGAGGGAGGGAGAATGGCGAAGATGGACAGAGTAAAAAGAATTAGAAACAGACAAAGAGCAGAAGAGGGCAGAGACAGAGGAGCGAAGGTGGGAAGGCTTATGTCTCAGTCCCAGAAACAACAACACTTTACCTGAAGTGACCTGGGAGCTTTTAAAGCCTTTAGCAAAGTAATTGAAACTCCTCTCCAGGCCCAGAACAGTTCTCCCATCCCCACCTCCAATGCCTTTTAAAGGCTCCGAATTAAAGGGATCTCTGGAAAGACAAAGAAGTGAAAACCACTCCCTGCTAATACCAGGCCCTCTGGCTTAAAATTCTTCTCCCAGGAAAGGAAAAAGGAAGAGAGGCGAAGGCCCCTCCTCAGCCTGAGCCTGATTTAAATGCTGGGACTGCACCTCCGTGCCTTCTCTCCTGATGTCTGAATATATTCCTTTATTATCATTATGACAGCTTTCTGATTGCATTAAAATTCATCCGCACGTGCCTTTCTATCCAGCCACTTCCCTTTTGCCAGGATTTTTTTTTTTTTTTTTGCTAATTCCTTCTTCCCCTCCCCTGCAATCTCCCTTTACAGTGCAGTTCTTAGTCCTAGGCCAGGGCCCTTTCTTCTTAAAAACTTTCCAAACGTGCAGGGGGCCAGGCTTCCCCTCTTCCTGCCTGGCTGCATTTCCCCAGGGAGACGCCAACCAGCCTGACCTTCTGTAAGGCTGCTAGAAACCAAAGAAACCTGGCTGCATGCCCAGCCGGTGTAGCTCAGTGGTTGAGTGTCGACCCATGCACTGAGAGGTCGCCAGTTCGATTCCGGGTCAGAGCACATGCCCAGGTTGTGGGCCCGATCCCCAGTAGGGGGCATGCAGGAGGCGGCCAGTAGATGTTCTCTCTCATGGATGTTTCTATCTCTCTCTCCCTCTCCCTTCCTCTCTCTCTAAAATCAATAAAGAAGAAATATTAGAAAGAAAGAGAGAGAGAAAGAGAGAGAAAGAGAGAGGAAGGGAGGAAGGAAGGAAGGAAGGAAGGAAGGAAGGAAGGAAGGAAGGAAGGAAGGAAGGAAGGAAGGAAGCTGAGTGCAGACTCCCTTCCTCCAGGGGTTCTTGGGTGACCCCGCCCAGTGCCAAGGTTGATTTGTTTCTAGAATCTTCAAACGAGTTCATTTTGCACTCTCTTCATTTCCAGTTGGCTTTTGTCACTGGGTGAGTGATTCTAAGCTTTGTCTCTCAGACCAGAGGCTGGCAGGACTCCGAGTCCAGGGTGGACCTCCTCCTTCTGGCTCAGGCACCCTGGCTCACACCCCAGCGACCCTGCGTTCCAGCTGTCCGGCTGCTCCCCCCTCGGCCTTAGGTCTATGAAACTGGGATAGCCGGGCCCTCCACATGGGGTGGACACGTGGCTTCCAGGAGGTGCTGCAGAGTCAGAGCCTGGCCTGCAGTGACGACCATGTGACGGCCATTACTTGGGGTTCTCTACCAAGGAGGAAGAGGAAATGGAGGGTCTGCCCCCTTGTTTACCCTGCCCTGACTTGAGAAAACAGGGGTCAGAAAGGGGGAGAGGTCAAAGGATCCATACTGGGGGCTAGCACTTGAAGTAACGAGTCGGACCAGGCGCTGGCTGGGGCTGACCAGCTGAGATGGGCAACCTGCCTAAGTCCTCCCACCCCCTGTGCCCTCCTGCCCCCCTGGGCACGTTCCCAAGGGGCTGTCCCCAGGCTGTGTCAGATGACCAGTGGTGCCATTTGGTTGGTGTCTTGGATCTGATGCCAACCTAGACAGAGTCTCAAAGAATGACTCAGTTTCCTCAGCCAGTTCCCACTCTTTCCACATGGACACAGACCCCTGCCTTCTGGGACCACGGCCCACCTGCCTGAGTACTCAGGGTCCCTGGGTCACGGTGAGGCTATGGTGCGCTCGCTCTCCTCCATGAACCCTCAGCCTGAGTCCGTTGTTGGGGCATGAGGGTGTCACTACTCGTCTGAGATGCGCAGGTAGGTGCTGTTGGAATGGGCCATGCGGGCCACCTCAAAAGCAGGTGAGGCCAGGAGAGATCGCTGAGCCAGGCTGGAGCTCCACTGAAGATGCCCCTGGGTGGGAGGTCGCCGAGGCTGCATGGGGCCCGGACACGTGGGGAGGGAGTGTAAAGCCCGGTGTCCTCCTCTCAACAGGGCCCCGCTCAGCAAGGGCTGCACTGTGCTCGCTCAGCGACTCGGGGCAGAGCCAGTGGCTGGCGCAGAAAAGTGTTAGCTTTCAGGCTCTTGCAGTCATTCCGCAGCTGTTTCTGAGCACCTGCTCCGTGCCAGACACTGCTCCAAGGCGACATCCAGACGGGGAGACACACCCACGAGAAACAAGTTCTCAAAAGACCAAGACCAGCAGGACTGCCACACAGTGGCCCCCAGGACTGGTGTGCCCTCCCCCGGGGGAACAAGGCCACAGAATGGCAGAGTGGACAGGACACCAGAAAACACCAAGGTCCCCACCTTTTCCAATGAGGAAGTTGTGGCAGGAAGGGAGCTCCAGGATGCCCACCCGGGGTTCAGACTATACCCAGCCTCTTAGGGCCTCTTGACTTCCTGACCCATAACCCCTTGCTGCTGCCTTTCTGTACCTATAACATGTGAGTGCCTGTGTTTGTGGGGCTAAGGGGACACCTAGGGTTCTGGGGAGGAGTGTGAT